CTGCCGTGCCCTGGGGAGGGCGATCCCGGCGGGCGGGGGTCCCTCCGCCCTTCCCTCTTGGATCGGGAGCGGCTGAGGCGCATCGCGGCCGTGCCCGCGGATCTCGGGCGCCGCAGGCAGGGGCCGAGCCCCGCGAGTTTCCTCCCCAGGGCCGGGAGTTTTCCTACGGTCTCTGCGTCCTGTAGGAACCTCTCCCTCTTCACTCGCTGCTGGTGAGTGGGCGAAGTGACCATGTTTTGTACTTTTGCTGCTTTTTGACCATAAAAAAATGGTGCTCCTTATTTTTGGAGGTAGGGGAAGGGGGGAAAAGGTGAATAAGTACATTGAGGAGGAATTCTTACAATGAGATTTTAACTTAGCAGTTTTCAAAGATTCCCACTGTGTTGTCACGGCAGAAATGCAGTTCCACCTACTCACCCCTCTATTGCACATTTGGATCTCCCAGTGCCACGGATCCGCAAGTGTAAAAGCTACAGGGTGTGTCAAGACAGGAGGGAAAACTGGACTCCATGGTCAGCTGCTGCCATAGAGAGCTGAACAGCAGTTTCCCCCGAAATCTACTGAGCTTTGGTCTCGACTCGAGATTGAGCAAGCCCCAAGCTGGTAAATGTTCAGCACAGGGACTGGTTGCACTATTTACCTTCAGATTGTTTTGAAGTTGTTTTTTTTGCCATTGAGTTCTGATCTCCTTGAAGATTCTCAGTGTGAGGATTTGTTTAACAAGACTTGCAGCCTTTGGAGAGCTAATTATAATGCATTGGAAAGCAGTGGGTGTCTTGCTCTCTTTTCTGCCTTACAGGTATGATTTGCTTGACCATTCAGATAATTAAATGACTCAAGAATGGAAACTGAATTTTAATATATCAGTTCAGTCTTCATCTTAGAAAATCAAGTTCTGGGCAGACACTGTTATGTGGAGTGTTTAAAATACTGTTTGCAAAACAGAGATTTGAGAGCATATAAATATATATGTAGAGAGATCCTATGGCTGAAGATGCTGTCTTGAAAGGCAAAGGGAGTTGGATTTTGGCAGAGATGTGCCCAGGCTCAGACGGAGCCTTGTGCTGCTCTGGGCCCGTTTCTCTGGAGCTTGCTGGGCTGCAGGAGTGAGGTATTGATGAGCCATGAAACACAGATGGGACAATGTGGACATGCAAAATATGAACTGAGCTGCCTTTTCATCTCTTGTTCATCTTGTTCTTCTTCTCCTGATGTTCAGAGTTCTGGTCTTGGGTTTGTTTGTCCTGCAAACAGGACAGGTAACATCTTAAGTGTGTCTAAGTAATCCTTGCAGGACATGACCTGTTCTGGAAGACAACCACTTGCTTTTTATTCTGCTTTGGAATTGTGGATATGTTCATACTGACAAAAGAGCAGAGCCCTATCCTTTTTGGGAAACAGATTAAACTCTTGTCACTTAGAGTTCCACAAGTCCCTGTGTCATGACTGAAGTGATCAACTAACAAGAAAAATTATGACAATTATCTATAACTGCCTGAAGCAGAAAGTGCATTAATTTGTCTTCTCCCATTTTAACAGGTATATTGGGGACATCATGAATTGGAATAAAGGTGGACCTGGTACAAAGAGAGGCTTTGGGTTTGGTGGATTTGCCATAACACCTGGCAAGAAAGAGGAGCCAAAGCTGTCTCAGCAGTCCCACAGTGCTTTTGGCACCGCTGGGTCCTCGGCAGCATTTGCAAAATCAGGGCCTCCTCAGTTGCCTTCCTTCTACAAAATTGGGTCAAAGCGAGCCAATTTTGATGAGGAGAATGCGTAAGTACAGTTACTTCTTGTGTTTATGTAGCTCTAGATTTGAATGTTTTTCTGAGATCGGGGAAGTATCTGTGACATTTATATAAATAAATGCATAATAATATATTTAGAAGACTATGAGATACTACAGTAGCCTGCAGAAGCTTTCCTCCTCCAGCTTTCCCCTCCCGAGAACATACTTCATTCACTCTGTGGTGTTCTCAGAGTTGGAGCCAAGCAGGATAAATTTGGGTGCCTTTTGCACAGGAAAATGTTGATCTCCACAGTTCTTTACTAATCCTCCTATTGGCTGCATAAATGTATAAATAAGGCTGAGAAAGTTGGGATTGTTCAGCCTGGGGTAGTCTGGGGCTGACCTAATTGTGGCCTCCCAGTACCTGAAGGGAGCCTACAAGAAAGATGAAGAGAGATTCAGTTATATACCTATTTGCCCTGCCATCACTTTGACCTTTAAACATGAATAATTGTAAATAAATAAATCTCAGCATCTTTTGTTGTGTCCATATTGAGTTCTGCTGTCTGTGTGGGTACCTTGACTCAACCAGAAACCATGAAAGACAGCACAGTGCTGTAAATGTTCTGACTGGACTGGTTTTTTTTTCAGGTACTTTGAGGATGAGGAGGAAGATTCCAGCAATGTGGAATTGCCCTACATTCCCGCAGAGAATTCCCCCACTCGGCAGCAGTTCCATTCCAAGTCGGCAGACTCTGACAGCGATGATGATCCTCTGGAGGCATTCATGGCTGAAGTGGAGGCAAGAGCTGCTCAGGGAATGTTTATTCATTGCTGTGTCTGTACCTGTGTGCAGTCAGGGCCAGCAAATGTCACTCAGGGCTTTGGCAGCTGCAGTCAAAATGCCACTTAACTTTGGGGTTTATGTAGGATGATGTTAGTTAGACCTCAAAAGTGGATTAGATAGACAGAGAGTGGATATGACTTACAATATCTTAACTATTTAACTGCTTTGAGGATGTCAGAACAATACAACATAGAGCACTGCTTGTCTCTGAATATCAAACTAAAGTTTTGTGAGTTTTTCACTACCTAAATGGAAATTGTTTGTATTTATGATGAGCTGTTTCTTAGCTACAGTTCTGTTATTAGCTGGATTCAGGAGGAATATGGAAAATTTATTTTTTCAATAACATTGTCACAAACTTAGAGTAGTATATAAGTTAAAAGATACTAGTAGGAGAATTTATTTAACATAATCAGATGCAGAACAAGACCAAGTTTAGTCCAAGAAGTGTTGTCCCTGTGACATAATAATCTAATTATTCAGGAACATTTTTCCCTTCCGTGTTTTACTGTCTTGGTCCTTTTAACATGTGACAATTTTATGACCTGCTAGGATCAAGCTGCTCGAGACATGAAGAGACTTGAAGATAAAGACAAAGAAAAAAAGAACGTTAAGTAAGTTCTCTTTTATCATTCCCATCCCTGCCTCTGTCTTGTATGGTGCTCAGAGAATTCCAGTGCATTTCGTTGATGATGGCTGTTCATCAGACAGTATAATGTATACCTAATAAACATCATTAACCTGTGCATGAGATCCTGTGGGTAATGATTTGTGCTGTAAAAATGGGATCATGGGGAAGAATCCATGGCAGTATCCTGTGGCAAACTGCAACACTGAGAGTTATCCTACGTGAGGAGCCTTTCTAGGCCACAGAAATGGGGGCAGCACATTGCACTCCTGCCACTTCCCAGATCAGCCTGGATAGTTTTTCTGCTTCCCACACCCTTGGAGAGACTAGAATGGTTTAGCTTAGAATTGCATTTATGTGAGCAGAATAACTCAGTGCTGCTGTATCTGGAGTACTGGAGACTCTTCTAAACTTGGACTAGGGTTTTAGACATTAAAAGCTGATAGATTAGGTAGCACATGACAATTTGTAATACTAAATGTGGAGTTTAAAACAGTTTAAATTCATGCAACCTATCTATTTGTTTTGACCAAGGAAAATAGTTATGCTGTTGATTCTTGATAGAAATGTCAGATATATTGGTAGAAGTTACATTGCATGGGGTTGATCAGATTACACATGGTCCTGACACAGAACACCGGATCCAAATCACCACCTGGGGAAGTTCTGAACTGGATTTGCACTTCCTGGCTCATATTCCTCTTCAGTTATGGGACTTCAGTAGCATCGAGAGCTTAGACCAGGATGATCTTTGATGTGGCTTCTGCTGGGACGATGGAATCCTAATCTTTCAGTCTCAGTTCTAGAAGTAAAGAGAAGTCTTTACAGGGTCACTGTAGTGGTTGGCACCAGATATGAAAACTCCATGGGCTGGGAATATAAATGTTGCCGAGTTGATAGTGTTGTGTCTTCCACAAAGTCTGGAGCTCAGCACTAACCAAATGAAACTCTTGAGCTGAGTCTGTGGAACACTTGCAGGGAAGTTTTTTCTCCGCTTGTTTTTCCAGGGGTATTCGAGATGACATTGAAGAGGAAGATGACCAAGTGAGTTCCTATGCAGTCTTTCTATCTTCTCTTTTGTTGTTTTGTATTTTTTAACTTTCCCTCTCCAAATATAACTGCTAGGGACAAACAAAATTCCAGTATTGTGTGCAGTATCCGGACAATTCAGCAGGAAGCTGTAGTGGTTATCCTGCTGTCTCTACCCTTCCAGGTGTTTTAAGAAGAATATTAGACAATTGCATTCATTGAAGAAGATTTTCTTCAGTCAGTTTGAACTTCAGCTTCCTGTATAGGTTGTTCAGTGTCTGAGGATCTGTGATTAGCACAGTCAGCTCCAGTGGACACCAGGGAGAGGCTGTTGGAGTGTGGAGACTCCTTTGCAGTGAATTGTGGGGTCTGTTCAGGGCAAGAATCAAGCTTTTCTGATCCCTATTTTCAGAGAAGCTCCAGTTCTCACTGAAGTTTATAAGCATCACTGTAGCAGAAGTAATAAAAAGACTTAATTTCAAAATGTACCTTCCTACTGAGTTGTAGTTACTAACTCTTGTGTTACTTGCATTAATGCAGAGCTTGGCAGGGATGTCTGGCCTTGAGGCCTCTCCTTCCAGTGTGGTGAGTGTAGCCATGCCAAAGTTTGAGCAGAGGTGGCTTTATGCTTGGGGGCAGCTGCTGTTCAGGTGTATTGTGTGCACAGCTCTGTGACTGAGGGATAACTGGCCAGGAAGATGGAAAAGTCAGATGAGTATATATGTATATTTGTAACTGAGCCTTGCTTTACAAATCTGATCTTAAATATTTGCTTCAAGTCAAGTGAGACTGGTGTTTTCTCTATGAGCAAGTCTCACACTGGCATGCCAGTGAGAATTTGAGAGACACAAACATCTTGGTGAGCTGTGAGGTGGCACATGACAGGATGACAACGTCTTAACTTGGGCTTGTCTTGAAGGACTCTTCTGAAATACTTTATTTCACCTTTGTTGTTGACTCTCTCAATGGAAATAGGTATATTTTCATTTCCTAAAGTCTAATTAGGGGAAGTGAAGGAACTATCTTTGGCATAACATGTTTTAAAAAATCAACATCATAGGTTTAGTAACAGTGTATTTTCTGGTTAGAAACCTACAGTGTTTTGTGCTTTGTTCATGTCGAAATAAGAATAGATCCTTCTGTTGTTAAATATAACAAGACTTTGTAGAAGGAGCTGTTAAGCAGACACAAGAGAAGTTTGATTTTCAGGAGCATTTTGTGGTGTAGCTGGCACTGGAGTTGTTTCTTTCATTTGTACTTCCTGTCCTTCAGGATGTGTCTGCTGGTGTTTATTAGAAGAATCAATTCTAGTGAATGTAGTTACCTTTTTCCTCAGTGGTGGGTGTGAAAGCAAACAGCCACTTAGCACACATGTCACATCAACAAACAGTAGCACTTTTGCTTCCTATTGTATGTGAGTTTGCTGATCTGTTTTGCTGCAGGAAGCGTATTTTCGCTACATGGCTGAAAACCCCACTGCTGGTGTGGTGCAAGAGGAGGAAGAGGATAACCTGGAGTATGATAGTGATGGGAATCCGATTGCACCGTCCAAAAAAATCATTGATCCTCTTCCACCTATTGACCATTCAGAGGTAGGAGGGAATTCTGTTCTGTTTGAGGCATTCCAGAAAGCAGGAGTGCCCCTGTGAGGAGGCCCCTGTAATATTTCAGTGCTTTCTTAGGTAAGTCATATTAAAGCTCTTGAAATGACTTCATTTAAGCAAGTGTTCTGGCAGACAGTTAAGAACTTGAGAAAAAAAGGAATCTTGCGTATGGACTAACTGAGTAATTAATTAATTACATCGCAGATTGAATACCCACCGTTTGAGAAAAACTTCTATGATGAGCATGAGGAGATCACCAGCCTGACCCCTCAGCAAGTGGTGGAGTTACGGCATAAGCTGAATCTCCGGGTAAGCTGGGCACAAAACTGCCCTCCCAGCAGCTTTTAACTGCCTTTCATTTGTGGACTGTCTTAGTTTGAATGAAGATTTTCACTCCAGCTTTTGAATCCAAGCCTCTCAAACACCTGCAGTGACGTTGATTTCTTGGAATTCTGCTATGGATTTGTGAAAGCGGGCAGTGCAGAATGCTGCTTGGACTAAAGACCTCCAGAGCTAGGAGTCAGAACTGGAAATAGATGCAGAAATTAGTTCTTTGCCATTTGTGACATGCCAGTGGGGTGACCTCCTGTGAAGGGAATTATTTGGGGTGGAACACCAGTTAGACACAAGGAGGTAAAAACAACTTTTAGTAGCTCATGTTGATTGACAGATAATTAAGTTTTTATACTCAAAAGTCTTATTTACACAACACATCTGGAATTTGCACCCAATTAAATTGAATGTCCAGTTAAAAAGTAAAGTTATTTTTCAGGGGCAGAGAGACCTTTTTTCTTTTTACAGATTGCTCTTTGTTTTTCTCTCCCTGTTCATGAGCAAAGATCTTTTTCTCTTTCCAAGGTCTCCGGGGCTGCTCCTCCAAGGCCTGGAAGTAGTTTCGCTCATTTTGGGTTTGATGAGCAACTTATGCACCAGATTAGGAAATCTGAATATACCCAACCCACTCCAATACAATGTCAGGTGAGTATTGTTACTTCTCAGTCTTGAAAAGAACACATACAAAGCTCCCTCATCCACAGGAGGATGTGACAAATTCAATTCTAGTTGCCTACAGAGTGTTTTTTTCTACAAAACTAGCTTTTATGCTTTTTAAATAGAAGTTTACCCACTTTTTTTTTCTTGTTAAATGAAAAATTAATATGTAAATATATATGTAAATATATCCATATTCCTTTTTCATTTTTTTTTTTTGTGAATGAAAAACAAGTGATGTCTCTTGCCTGGAGAAATGTATGAGAAGTTCAGGGGTTTTTTGTTGTGGACTTTCCTCGTTACCTGAGTTTTCCTGTACTGTCTAGCATAAGGATGTGCCACAGTGGGCATAATGTGGGCTTGGAATCTCCTCGTTTTTAGGGTGTTCCAGTGGCACTAAGTGGCAGAGACATGATTGGGATAGCCAAGACTGGAAGTGGGAAAACAGCTGCCTTCATCTGGCCGATGCTGATCCACATCATGGATCAGAAGGAGCTGGAGCCAGGGGATGGTCCCATTGCAGTGATCGTCTGCCCGACCAGGGAGCTCTGCCAGCAGGTAGGTGTGTAGCATCCCTGTGTGTGCCAGCCAGTCTGCGTGGAGGAGAAGGCAAAATTCTTGGCAAAAATTATCAGAGAACCTCAGGAAAGTATTTGAAAAAACTACTTTGTGTATGAGTAGCCTGGCTCCAGCTCACAGCTCTTTCCTACCATTGTTTTCTTGCAGGATCGTGACAAACCTAAAATTTCAAATTTTTGCACAGTGCTCCTATATTATTTTTAGATATAAGAATGCTGTGGATGCAATATGACAAATTGTATGTGCAAAAGGATAGAGCCTCCAGGTTAAATTATTGTTGGATACATAAACAGGTTTCTCAAGTTACTGGAAATTATCCACATGCGTCAAAGTATTCACCCCTGAGGAGTTCAGAATCATTTCATGAAGTTGGTAGCTGAAGAGTGTGTTTCAGGAACCGTGCTGCATTTCCAGTGTAGGTGTTTTGTCTCAGAACTGTCTGATGCAGGCTGTGCTGTGTTTGTGTCACACCCTCAGATCCACTCCGAGTGCAAGCGCTTTGGCAAGGCCTATAACCTGCGCTCCGTGGCCGTGTACGGAGGAGGGAGCATGTGGGAGCAAGCCAAGGCCCTGCAGGAGGGGGCAGAGATCGTGGTCTGCACACCAGTAAGTACCTGTGTGCACCAAAACCAGGGTTTTGCACTGCTCAGCTTGAAAAAAAATGTAAGAATCTGTTCCTATGATGTGAATATTGACACTAGACTGAAGCCTTGAGATGTTTTCTGTTGTGATTCTCTGGTAAGTCAGGATTAAAAGCAACTAGGGGGTTGTATATATTAACATGTTTTTGAAGGTGCTTTAAAAACTTGGAGTTTTTTCTTACTAGGGTCGTTTGATTGATCATGTGAAAAAGAAGGCTACAAACCTGCAGAGAGTCACTTACCTTGTGTTTGATGAAGCTGACAGAATGTTTGATATGGGGTTTGGTACGTATTGAAACAAAGTCACTATTTTGGAAAGCAGCGGTGCCCAGTCGCAGTTTAGGGGGTCTGTAAAATTAAGTAGTGAGTGAGAAGCACTCATTCTTTCTGTGGTTATATGTTAAATAAAGCAATGAAACTGCATTTTGACTGAATTTTTCTAAATAATGAGTGTACAGGGTTGATTAGATCATTTCTTCTCCTTTGCAGAGTATCAGGTCAGATCAATTGCAAGCCACGTACGTCCTGACAGACAGAGTGAGTAAACAGTGAGTCTGGAGCAGAGCTTGGATTTCCAGTTCTGGACACAGCCACACCAGGAGACTTGTGCCAAAGTCCACTGGTGTTATTCTCAGTGTGGGCTGTTGGGAGGGAGCAGTTGTGACATGTGGGCATTCAGCTCATCTCTCCATAATCCCTCCACTGACTGCACTCAGAGCAAAGATGATTAGCTGAATTCATGTTCATATGCCTTGAAATTCAGTGTTCCAAGCTGCTGTGAGAGAAAGTTCACAGCAGTTCCCTGTATTATCAATATTTCAGATGCCAGGAAATGTGTTTCCACTTTGTGGTATTCTAACAGTGGTTGGTAATTTCCATTGGAACCCATAAAACCTCAGCTTCAGTTCACTGATACTCAGAAATCCAGGGCCTCCTTCTCAACATCTGTGCAGTGTTTTCACAGTTCTGAAAGGAAGTTTCTAACTCAAGGAGTTTGAAGCCTGTTTCTCTTCCAGCCCTCTTGTTCAGTGCCACGTTCCGTAAGAAGATTGAGAAATTGGCCCGGGATATTCTGATCGACCCAATTCGGGTTGTGCAAGGAGACATTGGAGAGGTAATTCCATGATACTTGTGAGACAGAGCCAGGAATTGCTCTGTTTCTGTTCTCTGAAATTTAAGTTAAACTACAAAAATCATCATTTATAGTTAGTTTTAAATAATTTGTGCTTAGCAAAAATAGAAAGTTTTGTGGGTTTCTATTTTTATCTTACTGACCTTTCCACAAACAAATATTCCTGTACTGGGAGGCTTCATTGAGCAGTAGAACATTAAAGCAGTAGTTGATTTTTGTTATTAGGCTGAATCAATGGTTGTATGTTTTAGTTTTGTCTCAAAAACGTAAATGAAGCCATTGCAATTTCTGCAGTGAAGAATTTGAAACTTAAAATCTCTGTCCTGTGGTTTACATGGCAATGTTGATGCTGGACTTGCTTGACAGTGACAGCTGAGCTATCAGTAGGCTGGGGATCTGGTAGGAAGCTGATGAAGTGGGCAGATGTAAACTTGCTGGGAAGAAACTTTGCTAATAATATATTGAAACTGTTGAGAAATTTCACAAGATGCCTTCAGAACATTCTTCTTTTAACCAGTTCTCTGTATTTTTTTGTGTTTACATCTTTAATAACAAAAAATGACTGCCTGAAACCCCTTCTTTCTGGGAAAATTTTTCCTTGATTTTCCTTAAGAAAAGCATCAGTTTTCCCAGCTCAGTCACAGGGCCTCTATTCATTGATCTAAACTATTACTGTGTGGTGGGAGCATCATCCTTGAAAAACTATTAAAATGTGTAAAAATTAAATCATTTAGAGAAGCTTACAGGCAATGCTGTAAGCTGCCCTGCACTGTATTACTCGTGATGTAGAATGTTTGGGAAGTCAGTGTATTCTTCCCACCTTCCTGACTTTGAGGACATTTCTCCCCTTAGGCAAATGAAGATGTCACTCAGATTGTGGAGATTTTCCCCTCTGGGCCCAGCAAGTGGAACTGGCTGACGCGGCGCCTTGTGGAGTTCACATCCTCCGGGAGCGTCCTCCTCTTTGTCACCAAGAAAGCCAACGCAGAGGAACTGGCCAATAACCTCAAGCAGGAGGATCATAACCTGGGGCTGCTTCATGGAGACATGGACCAGAGTGAGAGGAATAAAGTCATTTCGGAATTTAAGAAAAAGGGGATCCCCATCCTGGTAGCTACTGATGTGGCAGGTACGTGACCTTCTGGAAAGCAGCTCAGGCAGGCTGTGGGTATCAACAGAAAGGCAAACATGCTTCAGTGCAAGGCAACCAGCTTGACATCTGCACCTGCAGGACACTGTTCCAGGTGCTTTTCAGAACCATGGAATATCCTGAGCTGGGAGGGACCCACAGGGATCATGGACCCCGACTCCTGGCCCTGCACAGACATCCCCAAGAGTCACGCTATGTGCCTGTGCAGTATATGGCATTGGCAAAGGGGGTTATTTTTAGTCTCTTAATGATGCCTAAATTACAGCCTGACATTTTTTAATGTACAGAAAGTATATACAGAATATTCAGAAAGCTGTGTCTTAAGGAAGTGGCTGCTGTTCATTCATCAGCTGACATTCCTGTTGCTCAGAGCAGCGTGATACCCTGGTACCAGAGGAATTGCTTTGAGTGAATTGGGATAGTGACACTTCCCACCACGTTGCTCTTTCTTCCAGCTCGAGGGTTGGATATCCCTTCAATCAAGACTGTCATCAACTACGACGTGGCTCGGGACATCGACACCCACACGCATCGGATCGGCCGCACCGGCCGTGCGGGGGAGAAGGGAGTGGCCTATACCCTGCTGACCCCCAAGGACAGCAACTTCGCTGGGGACCTTGTCAGAAACCTGGAGGGTGCCAACCAGCACGTTTCCAAAGAGCTGCTGGATTTGGCAATGCAGGTATGAACCAGCAAAGCTTGAGACAAGGAAGTGTCACTCCAGATTCAGCACAAAATCAGCCAGCCCACATTGCTGGCTCCATCATGTGTTAGCAGTGACCTTTTGGGGATCTGTCCTGGTTTCAAGTAGGTGTCCTAGTGTTTTTAATGGCCTTTGAAAGAATCCATGAAGATTTTGGAACACAATATGTGATCTATTTTGGGGCCAGGCACTGCCTAGGAAATTAGGAGCTGTAATCTGCTGATGCCAGCAGGGCATTCCAGTGTCTCTTTACAGTCAGATTTATAGCAGGCAGCTGGCAGATGCAGCTTAGTTGAAAGCTAAACTAGAAAACAATTACAGGGACATTTCCTCTGTGAAGGGGTTGTTGCTTGATCATTCCATCTGGTTGGCAGTGCTCTCTGGCAGGTTTGCTATATATAGGTGTGACAGGTAGCTGCAGCAATTGCACTTGTGCCACTGAACTTATCAAGTCTTTAATTTCTTGTCTTTTGCTGCCTGTATAGCTGCAGGAGAGTCCAGCCTTTTTGTCAGCTCCCAGATTCAGAGATGGATTAGCAGGCCTGTGGATACATTAGCAAGCAGCTTGGACAGCAGCTGCCAAAAGTAAATACTTTTTCTGACACAGGCAGCATTTTCAGAAGGGGCAGAATTAGTGAGGCAGAGTTCCCCTCACTGCCTTGAGAGGAGCATGTGGAAGCAACTGACTGACTCACATTGGGAGAAACTGTAGGGCATAAAAAGAGGTGCAGACAACTATTATTTAAACACCTGGAAACAGCAGGTCTGTTTGGGCTGACATTCTCTGGCTACTGCCAGAAAACAAAGTTTTGCTGGCTGACCCTCATTTCTCCTTAGCCAAGCATTGGGCTAAATCAGTGAAACCCAAGTACGAGCAAGAGCAGAGCTCTCAAGTGATGGCATTGGAAAGTGTGTTTATTCCTGGGTTTATTAGAATGCAAACCCCCAAAACCTTAACTTGAATGAGAGTTGAAGGTGTAAAATTACTTTTCATAGAAAGCGTTTGTAACCCAAAGCATCATGCCACCACTGCCTACGGCAGCTGTGTGGTTGAATGGAAAACAGTGTTTATGTTTGTCTTTTGAAATGCTTAGTATCCCTTTTTTCTCAGCCTCATTACATGTGTTTATGAAGCTTTTTATTCCCTGTGCTGAGAAACATTTGTCCTTCTGTTACAGAATCCGTGGTTCCGGAAATCCCGATTTAAAGGAGGAAAGGGCAAGAAGCTGAATATTGGTGGCGGTGGCTTGGGATACCGTGAGCGCCCTGGGCTGGGTTCAGAAAATACTGTGAGTGGAGATGCTGAAGAGGTTGTTCACAGATTCATGGAATTTTTTCATTTAGTATTGATTACTCTTTAATTTAAAACAATCTTGGTACTGGATTACAGCATCTGCTTTAAAAGTTCTCATAGCTCAGCATCTTTCAGGGTTAGGATTGTTTATCTCAGGTGGAAGTCTCCTGTGCTGTTCTTCTCTTGTCAAAAGCTGCTTTTTTTTAGAGCTAAAGTGATCCAGAAGGTTTGGAGATTCCTCATAAAATACACTGTCACTGTAAAATAAATGCCAATAAATTACTTCAAAAGCCATTCCCAGGCTGATTCCTGGCAGAAACAAAAATGGAGCAAACTGCTCCACTGCTCAGGGCTCTCCTGAAATCTGGATGTATTTCCTGAGTACAGGGACAGGACAGATGTGGGCAGTGGTTGAATTGAGTGTGTCTGTGTGGGATAAACCTTCGCAGTTGCCCTTTGTATTTTTGTGCAGGACCGTGGAAACAACAACAGTGTGATGAGCAACTATGAGGCCTACAAGCCATCCACAGGGGCCATGGGGGACAGGCTGACAGCAATGAAAGCAGCTTTCCAGGTTGGTTCCATGCTTGGACTCCTTTTCTCCCCTGAAAATGCAGCAGCCCTGTTATTTCAGGGAAGTTGAGCGTGGTGGTTGTGGCCATATCACTTGGAGCACACTCAGCATTGCAGTCCCAAGTGGTGGAATTAGGTGCAGGCTGGACTGAACACATTTTGCTGCCTCTTTGCTCTTTTTCCTTTTGGATTCTGCACCTGGGCTTGATTCTGTTGAGGTTGCATAGCAGCAGTAGTATAGTTGCAATCAAAAGGGGAAACAGAAGCTCTTTCTCTTCAGTGTAAAAATGAACCCCACAATGTAAAGATTCCCCTGTCGGTGTTGTCTGGTAGGAGGTGCCTGTTCCTGTGTGTCCATAAGCACAGCAGGAAGGTAATCACTGCAAGACTGACTTTTTCTAGGAGCTCTCCCCAAAATCCGAGTCGGGCTTGTGAAGGCAGGATGATTCTGTGTTCTGTGGGGCAGCGCAGAGCCAAACCAGCTCTCTTTTGTCTCTCCTTTCCTGCAGTCCCAGTACAAGAGTCACTTTGTTGCTGCAAGTTTAAATAACCAAAAGACTGGGAGCTCTGCTGCTGGTGCCAGTGGCTGGACCAGCGCCGGGAGCCTGAATTCCGTCCCGACGAGTTCAGCACAGCAAAGTGCCGCCAGTCCCGAGAGCCCCGCGGCCGCGGCAGCAAAGGGAGTCCCGGGTTTCCCCAGCACGGGCAGCCTGAGCAGCAGCCCCACCTTCCCCAGTGCGGGAGCGCCGGCCTTCAACAGCGCAAACGCCGGCACCAGCGGTCGCGAGGGCAGCGGTGGCATCGTCAGAGAACGGTACAACGACACCCGGAACAGCCGGCACAGCGAGGCCCCGCGGCGCGGGGACGGCGCTGGCCGAGGGGATGGCGCTGGCCGAGGGGAGGGCGCTGGCCGAGGGGAGGGTGCTGGTCGCTACAACGATGCCCAGCGTTACGGTGATGCCCAACGCCACAATGATGCCCAGCGCCACAACGATCCCCAGCGCTACAACGATCCCCAGCGTTACAACGATCCCCAGCGTTACAACGATCCCCAGCGCTACAACGATCCCCAGCGCTACGGTGATCCCCAGCGCTACGGTGATCCCCAGCGCTACGGTGATCCCCAGCGCTACGGTGATGCCCAGCGCTACAACGATGCCCAGCGCTACAACGATGCCCAGCGCTACAACGATGCCCAGCGCTATGGTGATACCCAGCGTTACGGTGATGCCCAGCGCCACAACGATCCCCAGCGTTACGGTGATGCCCAGCGTTACGGTGATGCCCAGCGCGACAGTGGCGGCAGCAGCCGGCACAGTGACCCCTCCCGGCACGGTGACGTCCAGCGCCACGGCGAGGGCCGGCACTTCAGCGACCTGCCAGGGGGCAACCGCAACAACGGTGACAGCAGGACCAGCGAGGGTAGGAACAGCGAGAGCAGGAATGGAGAGAACAGGAGAGAGGCCAACAGCCGAGACAACAAGACAGATGGTTTTGCTGTCCCAGAGCCCCCAAAACGGAAGAAGAGCCGGTGGGACAGTTAAAAGCTGGGGGTTCACGGCCTGGAATCTCTGCAGATAGTGTTGTCTTTTTCCAGGGTTTTTAGTAACTGGTTGAGCAGCTGGGGCCAGAGAAGGAAAGCATGAGAACCCCCATGCAAGTTCATCTGTGGACAGATGCACCCAAACGAAATGTACACTTAGTGAAAGAAATCATTTTGATAAAGCTCCCTGGGTTCTGCTTTGAAACATTCAGTGCTTGAGTGACTCTGCTGGATTTAAACAGATCTTCTTGACAAAAAAGCTGTTCCACATCCTTGGAACGTTAAGAAACTGTTGTCCATAGAAATATAAATTAGTCTTTTCTTAACCAGCGTTCACATTTACAAACCAGTCCAGTCCACCTAGAGATGCTCAGGACCTGTTAGACATTAATCTTGCAGCAGTTTGGTCAGTATGGTGGGTTCTTCCCCCATCTCCTTTTAACATACTGTCCCAAAATAATTTGGCCTCCAGGTTACCCCTTACCTTTTTCCCCATCAACTAAGAATGTATTAATTTGCTTTGGTGAGGGTGGGGCAGAGCAAGTTGGTTTTTGGTGGTTTGGCTTTTTGTTTTGTTTTTTGGGGGGTTTTTTTGGGGGGTTTTTTGGTTTTTTTTTTTTTTTTTTTTTTTTTTTTTTTTTTTTTTTTTTTGTTTTTATGTGTGTGTGTGTGTGTGTGTGTGTGTGTGTGTGTAGCTGTTTAAGGGATTCTTCTCCATCCCACCAAACCACAAATTCAGTTGTAGTGTAGGTTGGACTCCCTGGCTTGTTTGTGGTCAGTACTTCCATTGAATCCCATTGCCCAGATATTTTATTTCTTATGAAGAACCTCCTGTTTTCTAATATCCCACATTCTGGTGGAAGCCTGCATAGCAAACCTGTGTCTCTGCTGTGCCTATGCACCCTCTGTTCTGAGAGGGTTGAGTGCTTTCAAATTAAAAACAAAAAAGGGAAAACAATGTAGATACACAACAATCAGAGGCTGGAGCCCCCCAGGAAGTGTGGCTAAAAGAAGATTCAGAAATTCAGGGATCTGTTGCTCAGAAGCCTTTAGGGAGAACCCAGAAAACAATTAATGAAAAGAAACAGCTCAAATCTGTTCCTGTTTTGGACACATGTAGTAAATCTGTAAAATCTTGCTTGCTCATTTTTAACTCGTTGTGTGTATTCCCATTTTTTAACTTTTATTTTTTTTTGCCACAAGGTAGGGAAGAACTTTTCAGTTGGGACATGTCAGCACCCACCGCTGGCTCGTTTCCACTGGAAGATGTACCAGAAGCTGTCAGGGTTTTGTGACATTGTGATGTTTTCTTTATCAGCTGTGCATTTACTTTCTGCTTGCTCTAGTAAATGTTTTATTACTGGTACAAAAATATACAGCATGTGCTTTTTGTTCTCCACATCCTGGCTGCCCTGATGTGTGAAAAGAGAACTGATGGTCTGGAGATCTGTCTCTCTCTCACCAGAAGTTGTGGATTGTAGTTGATAAAATACTTCTTGTGGTTCTTCTTAGCATCTTTCACCCCAAAATGTTTCACAAACCCTGCTTTAGTTTCAAGGCCTCCTGGGGAATAGATTTTCCTCTGCTTAATAAGAGCTAAGGATACAGCCCAGGACATGTGACTCATCCCAGCTTTTGGTGGGGTCATGGGAAGACCTGGAAAGAGAACTTTGCAACAGACCCAAGATCTGACTTGACACCTGAACTGGCTACAGTTCAGACACCAAGTGATTACTGGTCCCCCTCAGAATCCAGCTCTGATTTGCTAGAGTGTTTTTAAAATGGTTTCCAGAATTCCCTCCCCACACTCTGGGCAGGACTCATTGCCCTGGCTCGAGCTCTGCACATTCGGTGTGAAGACAAGGGGGTTTCAGGGCAGGGCTTTACAAGTGTTGTATTCCCTTTCTCACCCTGAAGGTTCATCACTGCAATTAAAGATTGGAGTTTCAGAACAAAATGTAAAAATAGCCCCATAGCCTGAGCTGCCATCTGCTCCCTCCCTTCCTGGGTCCCAGCTTGCTGCCACTGGGAACCAGCCCCAGTTAACACTTCCCTGTGCTCCCTGTGGGATTACTGAAATTCCTCACCCCTCTCCCATCTACCAGCAGCCTTTTGGGAAGAGAGTAATTAAATATTGATCAGTGACAGGGAGCCACAAATGTCAGCTTGCAGGCCTGTGCGAGGTCCGTGGCAGGGCTGGTTCCATCCCCTCGGAACAAGGGAGCAGTGTGAGCAGCATTCCAGCTGCTCTGAGAGGGCATCTGGCCCTGGAGTGGCAGCTGTGCTGCTGTCTTCCAAAGAGACAGGTTTCTTCCAAGAGATGATTTCAAAAATGTGAATCCTGGAGCTCTTCCCTTCCTGGCTCCTGGCTGTCTGTCCCCCCAGCTCCCTACGGCTCGCTTTGCACTGTAGTTTTTCACTGGAAGATACAGGAATGCACACAATTATTTACCTGGTCCTTTCATGTCTTTAGCATGAAATTGCTGCCTTGAGGGTTGTGTAGGAAGAAGATGCTCCATGCTACCACCAAGATGCTGTTTAATTTATCTGTCATCTCCACAGCTCCTTGGGAATGCCTTTTCCCTCAGGTGAGGAGCAGGGCAGGGGTTGCTGGGGCTCCGGTCTGTGGCAGGGGGCAGAGGGAGAGCAGAGCTGGCTGGGAGCGTCCGTGGTGGAATACAAGGATAGAAACAAGTCAGACAAACTCTCTTTATTCACTTCTTAGCCTGCAATGAGATGACAAGGCCATGACAGTTGCATGCAGGGGCCTTTGTGTTAATGGATGAAATGATGGGGATCCAGATATTTCCTGCACCCTTCCCAGCTGTAAAGTTTGTCCTGCCTCCTTCATCCCGCCCTGTCCCAATGCCTCCCGCTCCAGTCTGTGGTTGAGTGTCGGTGTTCACTCCATCCACGATCTGCAGAGCAGCTCCACGGGCACTCCGTGCTCCTCAGGCTGGACAAAGCCGGAGCTGGTGCTGGTAGGGGAGCCCGAGGCAGGATCGGGCTCATGGGATGGGCTTTAACTGTGGAGAAGTCACCTCCTACTTGGGTGGATAGGAGAGAGCACGGAGGTGTTTCCTGGTGAAGACTCGAGGCTTTGCCAGCAGAGATCACATCAGTCGCTTGCACGTGCAGGAGAATGAGGTTTTATGGCTTGTTTTTGGGCCAAGGGGGAGGAGGAGCGAGAGCAGTGGTCCAGCTCTGATGGAAAGGGAGCCGGGTTGTTCCGGCTGCTGTCCCAGCCCTGGCTCTCCATTAAAATGTAAGCAGAGCCCGAAGCGTGAGATCAGCATGGTTCCAGCACGTCTGAGTGCCCAGGTGGGAAATCCACCCTCCGCTTCACAGCATCGTCTCCAGCTCCTTGTTGGGCTTGGGGTGACACTGAGCCAGGCCTGTCAGATCCACCGTGTTTTCCCCCCGGGGTTTCTGGCTCAGTTCCTGGCCGGGGCAGGGCAGGAGCTGGTCCGAGGCGCCGGAGCTGGGGATGTACCCGGGCAGGCGCGGCCGGGCCGGGAGCAGCAGCCCCCG